GAATGTCACATGAGACCCTTTGCTTCTTCTTATAGATCTCTCTAGTGCTGGGATTAAAGGCCTGAGCTCTGTTTCTCTTTTAGACTGATTCACTCTCCTGTAACCCTGGTTGGCCTTGAACTCACAGAGATCCATCTGCCTCTGTCTTCTGAGTCCTGGATTAAAGGTGTATAAATACTACCACTGCCTTTATTTATTAAAGCTGATCCCCTGGCAAACCTTATTAAATAATCATAAACAATGTTTCACTACGCTCTTTACCTCATTTCAACTTCTCATCATTGAGATGTTATCTCATTCATCATTTCTTTGGGAAAATATTACGGTATATTGATTGGGGGAAAGTAGGTAGGAAGTATGATATACTTTGGTTAATATTATTATAGTTATATAACATGTATAAATAAGTGGGCTTAATTTGTGGGTTCTTACTTGAGTTTGATCAGATTGGAGTCCCTGCTGTGAAGTCTTTCAGTGTTTGCCTCGTCCCTCATCTACCCGGTGTCTCCCGTGCAGCCAGCTTTGGACTGCTTCCTGTTCACACCAGAGTGTTCACACAGAGTGTTTCTAGTTCCTCCTGCACTTCCATCCCCAGCCCATCCCCATAGTTACCACATCTTTAAGGAGCTCGTGGTTCCTACGCTGTCTTTTAGTTTAGTTTAGGCTAGTCTTTCCAGCTGCTTCCACCCAGAAGCTACCGTGTTCATTTGAAAGGCAGGAGGGTTCATTTATTACTGCTTACTTTTCATTTTAGTGCCCTTGCTGCGTGCGTGCGTGCGTGCGTGCGTGCAGGACAGCATGGTTTTCACAGTGAGAACTAAATGGGAAGGTTTGCCATTCATGTACCTGTTTCTTTACCTTCTTCTGCCTTGTACTTTATCTCATTTCTTATTACCTCTTCTCCTGAACAGAAAGCGATGCATCATATGACAGTGTTTTAAATTAAACAGTTAAAGAAAAAAATAAAATGCAAGTTTTGACAACGAAAGAACAAGTAGAGTGGTTCTGAAGACTGAGACAAATTACAAATACAGAACCCGCTGTCCCCAACACAAAGGGCACATAGTTTACCGGTACAAACAAAGGGGCGCGAGATGCCGTAACTCCTCCACAGGTGAAGCCCAAAAATGAAGCTGCACAGAGAACAGCTGTCAAGAGAGGGCACTCTCGAGCTAGGAACCTTGTTCACATAAACGATAAAGGTGATGCTGTCCATGCACAGTACAGTCAGAGTGTGTGAACCCCATGGATGGTCACAGACTTGACACCTGTAGTGTCCCTCCTGGAGTAATATCTTCAAGCGGCATTCAGGACTCATGAAAACCAACCTGGATCAGAAATGTTATAGGCCAAAAAGAAAAAGAATGGGTATTGATTGAATTCAAGAAACAACAAAAATTCACGATTCTATTAGAAGTGGAATGTAAATCACAAGGTGTCCGAGGGAGGATAAAGTCCGATAGTAATGGAGTGGGTGACAGTTAGTTAGGCAGAGGGAGTGTGGCGTGTAGGGGATGAGAGTAACCTAACCACAGGACAGCAGTGCAGGAGGAAATGACAGAGTGGGAAGACAAAGAAGGCATGACGTAAGACTCCTCAAGAAAATCAGAACAACCACCCCAAACTAATACCCGAAATTACATCCGAAGGAAAATGAAAAGGGCCTATTAGGCACCGGGGAATATTAACTCAGAAAAGTCCTAGGAACAGCTTAGTGAAACTGTTAAAGTCTTAAGAGGTCCAGACACAAAGATTAGTTATATAACCATGAGCATTAAACTACTTGGAATTGTCCCAAATAGATTGCAAAGCCAAGCCACCACAAAGCAACATTCCAGCACTCTTAAGGCGTACAAACCAAGGATAGTGTACATCTTCCCTTGAAGCATCAAGACTGCAGTAAACCGGATGGCCAAGGGTTCAGAGGATAGTGTGCACGCTCACCATTGCTGGCCAAGTCCTACAGGCGAGCTGGATAAGGAGGGACACTGCCATAGCTTGATGAAGATGTCATACGACAGTGTAGATAGAGGTTTGTGTGATGGCCGCGGTTTGTTCTGACGAAACAGAACCACTTGAGGTAGCAAAGGAGGAGGATCTACTGTAGGAGCTGACCTACATAATTGCAGAGCTGGCTGACCGGTCTGCACGGGGCTGTTGCTTCTGTCTAGCATTGCATGGTGGATGGAGCTGTGGGTGCAGAAAGGCAGAGGGAGGAAGGGCCTTTAGACCCCTCAGGCTCTGCTTTATGTAGTGAGTGAGCAGCAGGTGCCCTTGGTCACACATTGGGTGGGGAAGCTGGGGTGGGGCCGCAGACCCTGCTCCCCGGTGCCCCTAGCCTGCTGAGATTGTGTGAGGACTTTGGTGTAGCCTGGTTCATTTCTCTCAGCTGTGGTCTCATATGCAGGCTGTAGTCCAGTCTTCCTGTAACTACATGAGCCAGCGCCAGTGCGTCCCTGCATGTTTATTCTTGTGAGGGCATGTACTGTATATGTGCATTAGGTTATAACTACATGAGCCAGCGCCAGTGCGTCCCTGCATATTTATTCTTGTGAGGGTATGTATTGTATATGTGCATTAGGTTATATCTAGATGAGCCAGTGCGTCCCTGCATATTTATTCTTGTGAGGGCATGTACTGTATATGTGCATTAGGTTATATCCGTTGTGTTTCTCAACTTGATGTATTTTTTTCTGCAGTTCAGTTTTGCTGATTTCTTTGGAAATTCAGAGAAGTTACTGTTTTAATTTTAAAAACAATGGTTAAATTAGGTGAGGTTTCATTGTAAACCGAGTACTGTCCTAAATCCCTTACACAGATTATCTCTGAATTCACTTAGTCTAGGAAGTCATTCCTGATATTTTCCTCATCTTGCAAATGAGAAAACTGATAAAAGGTCAGTAATTTGGCCAAAGTATCAAACCCTCCCACCCCTCCCTGCTCCCTCCCACCCCTCCCTGCTCCCTCCCACCCCACCCCTCCCAGATCCCTCCCACCCCACCCAGATCCCTCCCACCCCACCCCACCCAGCTCCCTCCCACCCCACCCCACCCAGATCCCTCCCACCCCACCCCACCCAGATCCCTCCCACCCCACCCCACCCAGCTCCCTCCCACCCCTCCCAGCTCCCTCCCACCCCTCCCTGCTCCCTCCCACCCCACCCCTCCCAGCTCCCTCCCACCCCACCCAGATCCCTCCCACCCCACCCCTCCCTGCTCCCTCCCACCCCTCCCTGCTCCCTCCCACCCCTCCCTGCTCCCTCCCAGCTCCCTCCCTGCTCCCTCCCACCCCTCCCAGCTCCAGGCAGCCACTCCTCATGACTCTTTTGAAGCTGATCCCAAGGTGTCTTCTGGTTATTTGGTCCTTGGTTTTCAGCAGTTTGGTCATGATCTGTGGAGACATGTTTGTCTTCTATTGGATCTTAGGTGGCACACTGACCTTGAACTAGGTACACTTCTACTTTTAGCCAAAATTTGGAGATGAGGCATTTTCAGATGTTTATTATGCCTAGTTTTTCTCTTTTCCTCTTGGATTCTTGCAGCTTTGTAGATTTCCCAAAGTGATCGTGGGTTGCCTGGAGAAGCTGTGTTTGCTTTCATTCAGTCTTTCCTAGAGGGTCCTTTCCTCATGAGCTGCCTGCAGGCTCCTGGCCTTTCCCTCTGCACCCCTATGCCAGGGAGCTCAGTCAGAGTCTTCATTTCAACCAGGTATTTTCAACTCTTACTTTGCTTTGTTTTTCCAGACAGGGTTTCCTTGTGAATGTAGCCTTGGCTGTTCTGACACTAGCTCTGAAGACCAGGCTGGCCTTGAACTCACTGAGATCCACCTGCCTCTGCCTCCCAGGTGCTAGGACTAAATGTCTGCACCACGGGCGAAGGCTTTCAGCTCTAAGATTAAGTTTTTTTTTTTTTTAATTGTCATATCTCCGTTTATGTTTTCTGTCTTTTCATTTGTTTTATTTGAGTTTTGCTTTCACCTCATGGGACACAGTTTCATAGCTGCTGTACGTACTTGACTCTGCTAACTCAAATTGTGCTATTTTGGCATCAATATCTTGTTTGTTTGTTTTATTATTTCCTTTGACGATGAATCAGATCTCCTTTATGGTGTTTTCTTGAGGCAGGATCTCACTGTAACAGGGTTACCATTCTTTGTAAAGCAATAGTTTGGTGCTGTACCCCAGATACTGGGAATTTGTGATATGTGGAACTTGGGTTCTATTGAAGTCCTGATAGATATCTTTAGCTTTGTTTAGTAGACGTTCCGCCCAGTTACTTCTGGTTATAAGTTCTCATCTTTCGCAAAGCTATTTTATTTTATTTTATTTTATGTGGGTGTTTTACCTGCATATGCGTATCATACCACATGATTGCAATTATCAGAGGAGAGTGTTGAGCCCAGTTACAGATGGTGGTGAGCCACCCACCATGAGTGCCAGGAGCCCAGCCTGTGCCCTCTGTGAGGAAGAAGAGCAAGCCCCTGAGCACTGGGCCACCCCTCCAGCCCTTCGTTCAGTGTTGAGCATCAGTTGTGCTGTATTACCTATCGGTCCTGCCTTGTGCATGGGTAGTTTAGAGAATGAGCTGAGAGGTGAGCATTCACCGCCTCCCCAGCCTCCAGCCTCACTGTTCTCCCCCAGAATGCAGTGGGGTTTCAGTTAGAGTGTCAGCTGCCCACGTGGCTGCAGCTGGCAGCGGGACTTGTGAGATGCTGCCCTGACTCCTGGCCTGCTGTGCTGTGCTCCCCTGTGGCTGGCCTAAGTAGTTCTGCCTGAAGAGCGGAGTGCTAGGACTGTGTGAGTCTGAACCTGCATGTTTATATGGAGAAAGCAAGATTGTGTGACATTTAGATTGATTAACTTTGTATACGAATGTGTAAATACAATTAAGTGCACTATTGTAGTTCTTTGTAAGTCTGGATTGGTTATATAATGAGCAAACTAGGGTATAGCTGATGTTTGTAAGATTTCATAGTGTCTAACATACACTTTCCATTTTCAGATGGCCTTCTGATTGTGGGTGTTCACTCCGCTAAGTTTCCAAATGAAAAGGTCCTGGACAATATCAAGAGTGCTGTCCTTCGGTATGACATCACCCACCCTGTGGTTAACGATGCAGACGCCAGCCTTTGGCAGGAGCTTGAAGTCTCCTGCTGGCCAACACTGGTCATACTGGGACCTCGTGGAAACATGCTGTTTTCTTTGGTTGGAGAGGGACACAAAGATAAACTATTTTCATATACTTCTATCGCTTTAAAGTATTACAAAGACAGGGGACAGATCAGAGATGGGAAGATTGGAATAAAACTCTTTAAAGAATCTCTGCCACCATCACCATTGCTGTTCCCTGGCAAAGTAGCAGCGGACCACGCTACGGGCAGACTGGTCGTTGCAGACACTGGGCACCACAGGGTCTTGGTCATTCAGAAAGACGGACAGATTGAGTACAGCATTGGAGGTAAGGTTTGCTCCTGACACGCTATGTAATATATTCTTCAGTTGAAAACTAGTTTGAGTAAATACACAAAAGCAGCCTGAGTTGGCTTCTGACTTTATGGCAGAGTTATTTTGTTATTTAGTCTGTGGCATCTGAGTTAGCCTTCCTTTCCTTTTCAGAGCAAACAAAACCCAGAAGCGCCATGTCAAAAGCAGGAAATCATTAAGTTATATAGTTTTTAGGTATACTTGTGTGTTCCATCCTGTTTTTTTTTTTTTTTTTAATAAAAATGTCACATTTATTTGCTCATGGAAATATATGCCACAGTTTTAGGTCAATGACGTTTTAAATAGAAGTTTCGTGTTTTCTTCTCTAACAAAATATGTCATATAGTTTTCAGGACAGTGACTAAGAAACTTGCTGTGTAGATTATAAAGTAAACAGGCCCGGGTTTGTTCACGGTTTTCCTTTTATTCTAATTTCGTCCTTAAGAAGTAAAGCATACATCTGGGCCCCTCCCCTTTCATGAGAGAGAGAGAGTCAGGCCGTCTCCTTCCGTCTCCTTGCCTTACATGAGAATATGCCCTTGTTTCCATCTGCTTGTTTAGTAAAATCTCCTAAGTCGATTCAGAATAACCCACTTCTTTGGGCTGAACCGACACACAGCAAATAGTGGGAGGGAAAGGAGCCTTGTCCTTATAGCCCATCCCACTTAGAGCACAGGCAGCACTTTACCTAGGGCAGTAGTTGGACCGTGCCCCTGAGCCATTGCCCATTGGAGTATGCCGAGACAGGCTTGGCTCCTGTGTCGTCGGTTACTCTTTTATTACGGCATGCGTCGTTTTGTAGGGCTTTTTTGCTTGTGTTACTTGATATTTTTTGTTGTAACAATCAGGAGAATTGTTACTTGAAAAGTGCTTTGAACTTTACTGGTCTTCATGGGTTTTGGTGTGTATGGAGTATGTACATACATGCTCATGTGAGTCTGTATGCTGACATAGAAGTCAGAGGTTAACATTGTGTCTCCCTCTATTACCCCCCACCTTATCCTTTGAAGCGGGGTCTCCCGGTGTCCCTGAGGCCCATGGGTGTGGCCAGGCTTGCTGACCACTGACGGAGAGATGTGCGTGTTTGTCCCCAGCCACACCACACTGCATCTCTGTTGTTGTTCTCGTCACTGTTTGCAGACAGGGTCAAATGTGAAGTCCTAGGCGGCCTGGACTCTTTGTAGACCAGACTGGCCCCGGGTCGCATAGAAAGATCCACCTTCTTCTGGGATTAAGGGCATGTGCTGCCGTGCCTGGCTTTTTGTGTATGCTGGCAATCCAAACTCAGATCCTTGTGGTCGTATAACAGGCACATGAACTCCTGGGCCGTCTTCCCACCCAGATTTTAATATACTGTAACATTCAGAACGGTGTAGGTCAGTGTTCTTTCTTAACACAGGCTCTCACTGTACAGCTTTGGTTGGCCTGCCGCTCCCTGTGTAGCTCAGTCTGCTCTGGAACTCACAGAGATACCTGCCTCTGCCTCTTAAGAGAGGATTAAAGGCATGCACCACCACACCCAGCCCAACAATGATCTTTTAACAGAAAATATGTACAAATGGTGTTCTCCAGTGTGCCTCAAAGAATGCAGCTATTCTTGACGCATTATTAACTTGGAGGCTTTTAGGTAGGCCTCTGTCTCTAGCCCAGGCAGGCCTGGAGCTCACTATATCCCAGACTCACCTTGAATGCACAGCAGTCCAGCTGCCTCCAAGTGCTAAGATTTACAAATATAAGCCACCGTACCCACCTGATATTATGTCTTACATTTATTTATGTATGCATTGTGTGCTGGGGAGTAGAAGGTACATAGAGGTCGGGGAGGGTCAGACTCAAGTTGGCAGACTGGGGAGGAAGCTCTTTCACTTGTAAAGCCAGCCTCCAGCCCTCAGCCCCCAGCCATGGTCCCGTATTTGCAAGAACTACTGATTTCATGTGATTTCACAGACTGTCGGGGTTCTTAGCGCTTTGCTCTGATGGTGGTGTCTCTGGACATTCAGATGGTTGTAGCGCTCAGTATGCTCAGATCTGAAATACCCTCAGAGTTCTCCCCTATCCCTAATGTCAACAGCAATAATAGTGTTGTTAGTGACGGTGGCAAGCCACATGCCTGGCTCCATTCCAAACACCCTGCCTATGTTCTTATTTCCACTCCGGTAATGCTGTGAATCGGGTAATATCAGTTCAGAAGTAAACTAAGGCATGGAGCACGTCCCCAGGCAACCAGCTAGAGAACGCTCGAGCTGGGAGCTAGTGGGACTTGTTGTGTTCCCTGGCCACCAAGAGTGCTACCTCTCTGTCTGCTGTGTTAGACAGTGGGAATCTGCAGAGCAGCCTGTGACCACTGACGGAGAGGCTCTGGCTACCAGCAGGGGTGTATTACTGTGTCACATGGTCCCTCCTTGGAGAACGTACAGGACTGTTTGACAGTTAAGCAGGGATAGAGCAGAGCGTCACCTGGGCTGACTCCAGGAGATCTGATGACCTCTTCCGACCTCTGTGGGGACCAGGCACACACATGGTGCTTATACATACATGCAGGCAAACACACTCACTCATCAAATCATTTTTAATCATCCCTTTAGCTGCAGAAAGGGTAAAGTTATTTTTACCTTTCTAATCTAGGTAGCAGGTATTTAAAATGCTTTGAAAATTATTTTCTTCTGCTGTGTGCTACCCAGAATAGATAGACTTAGAGAAGTAGAGGAAGATAGCAAGCATCTTTATTTTAGATTTTTTTTAATGATTTGATTTTTCTGTGTGTGATGTTTTGCCTGCACCCCTATCTGTGCACCATGAGTGTGCAGTGCTCTCTAAGGCCGGAGGAGGGCATCATGTCCCCAGGACTAGTGCCGACAGTCATTTGTGAGCTGCCCTGCGGGTGCTGCGGGTGGAGCCCAGTCCTCTAGAAAGAGCAGCCAGCACTTTGAGCTGCTAGCCATCGCTCCAGCCCCACATTGTCATCTCTAGATAGAAATACTGAAATGCTGTGTTACTTATTTTCAAAATACCAGCATTGAATGCAGATTCTAAATGATTCATTTGGAGGTTTGTTACGTGTGCTCTTTCCTACCAGCCACCTGGGTCCCATTGCTGCTTCAGCCCCCAAAAAACACACGAGACACCATGTTAATTATAGAGCTGCTGGCCCTTGACTAGGGCTTCTTATTGGCTAGCTCTGTGTTAATTATTAACCCAAATCTATCAACCTGTGTATTGCTACTAGGCTGTGGCTTACCCGGATGTCCGCCAGCATCCTGCATCTCACATGTCCCCTGCTTACACTTCCCAGAATCCTCCTTGTCTCCTAGCCCCACCTATCATCCTGTTCATTGGCCACGGTGCTGTATTCATAACCAATAAGAGAAACATGTGTACAGGAGACCCCCATCAGTTTACTTAGAAGTTGCTTTTTTCTGAAAAAAAGATTGTCTCACAGCTACCTTGTCTTTTAGGACCCAATCCCGGAAGAAAAGACGGAATGTTTTCAGAGTCGTCTTTTAACTCTCCACAGGGTGTAGCTATCTTGAATGATATCATCTATGTGGCTGACACTGAAAACCACCTTATAAGAAAGGTAACTTTCCACCTTAAGTTAGAGTTTGAGTATCTTGGGTCATGTTACAGGTTAGAGGCCAGGTTGAGCTACCTGAGACCTTGTATTAAAAAATAAGAAAGGGTAGGAAGGCAGGAAAGGAAAAACTACATTAAGGTTTCAAAAAAATTCTCTACCAATTTGCTCATATTCAAATTTGGACTTCAAAAGACTATTTCTAGAGAATTTTTTAAAAGCACAGAATTTATTAAACATCATTTTGTAGGTCTTATTTATTCTGTATTAGTCACAGGGTTGATGTGACAGTCATATTCCATTATAGATAAACCCAGTTATTTTAAACATTTTCTACATTAGTGATTTTGGTTATAGTCTATTATGAATTTTGAAAATAACTAAAGTGCCTGTAATCTATCGTGTTAGGTAAACACAATGCTTCTGATACTTTACGTACATTCAGCACTGACATCTGTCTTCACTCATTTGGCAGAGTTGTCACATAGCATACATGTAATAACAAGTATATGTCTGGACTGTAATGGTATTCGCTGCTGTGTATGTCTTGGTAAAAGCAGTGTTTTCTTTGCTGCTGAGTAGAAGTTGGCTGTTAAAATGTTCAATAAATATTTAAGTAAGTTTACTAACAAGTTATATATTTAATGAAACATTTGTATGTATTTATTTTTACCAATATATATTGTGACTTAAAGCACTAAAGTGGATATGTTTTTTGAGTCTTGGAAACTTCCTAGACCTTTAATAATCTCACATATTATTGATGGAGTTATGGGTATTTACTTGATTAGGATGCCCTTTTTTTTCTTTAGGTAGCACTTCATTAATATCCTTGTGTATAGTTTACAAAAAAACGACGTGGTTTTGATTACTGCTCTTAAAGGTCTGTTCTCCAGAGTACTTTTCTTTGGGAGTTATTTCTATAGTTGTCAGTGATGTCTGATCATTCGCCGAGGTAGTGAGACAATTAGTTGGCAACATCAGAAACGCCTGTCCTTGCTAACTGTGCCCCCTTCTCAAACACCTGTTTATTGAAGTAGTGCAATCACAAACTCCTGGGTTTCCGGAAGTTGGTGTCTATTTTGTGTGACATGACAGTGTCTGCGAAGACGGGAACCGTCGCTTCTCCGTTACTGTATTTTATTTTGCAGACCTCGCTTGAAGATGTGTACACTCATCACCTCTCACACCCACTCACAGAGGCATCACTGTTCCGTGCACACCTGCCTTTGTCTAGGATAGCTTTATTAACTTACAGGGTTGTTATGTTTTGGTTTGACTTTTTAAGCAAGGTTTCTCTGTATAGCTCTGTCCTGGAGCTAGCTCTGTAGACCAGGCTGGCCTGGAACTCAGAGATCCACCTGCCTCTGCCTCCCAAGTGCTGGGATTAAAGATGTGCGCCACCACTGCCTGGTCAACTTATAGATTATGTCCCCTTTCCCCACACCCCTCACCATTCCCTCACATGAGTAAACCATAGATAGCCGTTTTGATATGCTTATCTGCATATCACCCTGAAAATCATGAGTGTCCTATGCACACATTATCTTAATGACTTTATTGTGCTATGTCATGATAAAGGTCACCCATATAAGTACAGACTCACCAGTTTTTAATCAGTTTAGCAGGTTTTGCAGTCATAACTTTAAATTGTTTTTAGAATATTTCAGCTCCCAATTAAGAACTGTCACACAAAGGTAATCACCATTCCCAGCTCTAGGCAATCAGCATCCTGGCTGTTGATAGACCCTTACTGAACCTTTCACACAAATAGCGTCCTGCAATAGACAGGCGCTTCTTCAGTCCTGTTTGACGTTTGAAGGTTTGTCCATGAGGCGGCATGTTGGCAATCCATTCCCTTCCATTACTAGGAAACAAGAGAGAGGCTGTAGTTACCCTTCTAAAACAGTTTCAAATGCTCTGTATGTTGTGTTAGAATTATTAATGTATTGAAAGTGAAAATAACATGCATTGAATCGTGCCTACTGAATCTTTTATAGATTGACCTAGAGGCTGAGAAGGTGAGTACTGTAGCTGGCGTTGGCGCTCAAGGAGCAGACACAGAGGGCGGGGAGCGAGGCGAAAAGCAGCCCATCAGCTCCCCTTGGGATGTCGCGATTGGAGCCTCAGGTATGCGAGCTTAGCAGCAGATGCCAGTAGATTCTGCTAGTAAAATAAGATCTGATCTTTACAGAATGCTTTTCTTCTGGTCAGAGGTGGCACACACCTTTAAGCACAGCACTGGGAAGGCAGAGGCAGGTAAATATATGAGTCCGAGGCCAGCGTGGTCTATAGAGTGAGTTCTAGGACAGCCAGGGAAACCCTGTCTCTGGAAAAAAAAAAAAAAAAAAAGTCTGATTTTTTTAATTACAAAGATTCTTGAATGTTTATTTAGATTAATTGTATAGCTTATTTTATATATTTGTACTTATGGCTTGGAGCTTGCTGCTTGTGGGAAGCAGAGGCAGCCATAATATAAACAAATAGAATACCTATTCTATAAGAATGACTGGTTAATTGGCTCTCTCTTGGATCAGGCTCAGTACATGCTAGATTCTAATTTAAGTGATGTCATATAATCTGCATCTTTTCGTTGATGTCATTGTAAATGTTCTTAAAGTGGTAGGACTGTGGTTTACAGCGAGATTACCCACAAGCTCCATACCACTTAATAATCTGCTCACTCTAGTTGAAAAGAAACTGAGCTACCAAAGAGGAAGCTAACTTAAGTTTTCATTTTTAAAAAATTCCCAAGTGTCAAAATAGGATGACATCTTTTAAATAACGAGTCAGGCGGATGCAGACAGTAAACGAGACGCTGTCTTAGTGGCCTGTGTTGCCCATACCAGTATAGGAGAGACACCAGTGTTCTTGCTGTCATCCTAAGCAGTGCTGAGACGCTGCTGTCTACATGTCTAAGGTCAGACACGGAGAAAGTAGAATACAGCCAACTCGAATTTGAAGCTAAATGGGCCATGTGATCTTCTCGGCTTAGTTGAATGGCTTTGTGTTGAGAATTCTTGCTTTGCTGTGCTAGTACTGTCTCTCAAAAGAGGGAAAACTCTGGGATTTATATGTACGATTAATAGCTAGTGATTAATAGCCAATATTTATATAGTGATTTAGTTACTGATGTTTGTATTGACCACTTTATGTATTCTGTATCTATTAGTAATTATCACAGTGATGCTATGTTAGGTATATTCATCAAACCTAATCCCTTATTTCTTACACACTAATAGTGTTGCAGATGAGTCAACAGTCTGAACCAACTTGGTTTTTGTCTCAAGCTGTGTCTTGAGTCTACATCTGGCTTATGTGATCTATGTAGTATGTTTGGGTTTTTTTTTTTTTTTTTTTTTTTTGGCAGAAGGTAAAATTGCAAGAGGACAAGCCACATCAAACATATCGTAAGACTTTGCTCACATTCCATCCTCTGGCCTACTGTTACTAGAACAAAGTGTGGGAATTGAGGCTTGGCCAGGTGTTGGTGGTGCATGCCTTTAAACACAGCACTTGGGGGGCAAAGGCAGGTGGATCTCTGTGAGTTCGAGGCCAGCCTGGTCTACAGAGTGAGTGCCAGGACAGCCTCCAAAGCTACAGAGAAACCCTGACTTGAAAAATCGAAAAAAAAAAAAAAAAAAGTGCTTGCTGCTCTTCAGAGGACTTGTGCTTGGTTTCAGCACTCAGACTGGGTTGTTCACAACCACCATGAACTCTAGCTCCAGGGCATCTAAGAGAGAAACAGAAACACAAGTCACACAAGCTGTCCAAAGTCAGGAGACAGGGATGTATGCTTTGCCACCACGAGGCTGTCTGTGGAAAGGATGTAGATACAGATGGGCAAAGAGCCAGCTTCTTTCATTTCTGTCAGAACTTACATTGCTTAGACTTATGGTGCACTTTACTAGTTAGGTAAGTTAGGTAATATAATGGCCAAGGAGTGTTTAACTTCTATCCATGCTAAAAGCGTTTCAGTTGCACCTGGTAGTGTGGTGTTGCTGGTTGAGTATCTCTGTATGGAGAATGCCCCCCCCCCATCTTGCTCCCTGAGAAAACTGTAACTGTTAGCCAAGTACTCTGTCCGGGTCTGAGTCGGATGGGGCACTGTTTAGACACGCACCCTTCTAGCCCGGGTTTCAGGTCCTGTTTCGGCTCAGCCTGGGCTTTGCATTGCATAGTTCTGAAGACATCTGGTGTTTGAGAATGGCTCCACAGCCTCACACTCAGAGCTGCCTGGGAAGGACACGAGGTGCGGCCTTGTTAGGGGAGGTGTCATTGCAGTGGACTTTGAGGTGTTAAAAGCCCATGGCCTTCCCAGTTAGCTCTTTCTCTGCCTCCTGCTTATGGATCAGATATAAGCTCATAGCTACTCTGATCCAGCACCTGCCTGCCTGACACTGTGTACCCCATTGTGATGGTCATGAACTTTAACCTTCTGAAACCATACACAAGTCCCCAGGAAACTCTATCTTTATGTTATCTTTGTCATGCTGTCTCTTCAGAGCAGTAGGAACACATCTTCACCCAGAAAATGGACAAGAGAAATTGTCTTTTGTTATTTGTTTGGTTGGTTGTTTGATTGGTTGGTTGGTTGGTTTTTTGAGACAGGGTTTCTTTGTGTAGTCCTGGCTATCCTGTAACTCACTCTGTAGACCAGACTGGCCTTAAATTCACAGACATCCACCTGCCTCTGCCTCCCAAGTGCTGGGATTAAAACCATCTGCCACCACCAGGCGAGAAGTAGTCTTGAATGCACTTAATTGTTTACTAGCTCAGAAAGTGTGGTTTGAAAGTTGTCTAAAGGACCTCCCTCAATAGTCATGCTAGTTCATGAGTTGTCTATGAACCAACTAATCTTGGTGTCTATACCAAATCATTGCTGGATCAGCTTTATAAAATTAAATTACTATAAATTACTGGATGACACTGATTCTCATAAGACTTTCAGAGTGACATGTTACCCCAGAAATATCTTTTTTAAACCCCAGAAACAGCTTAATAACTAAAGTTTTAAACTACTTTAAAGTCCTAACCTATATTAATGTATAATTCTTTGATAACTGGATCAAAGGATCAGATGACTTATTTTTACTAAATTACATATTTGCTTAGTGTCACTTAAAATATATCTACAATAAAATATGATTCATTTATATGTACATGTACATGTTCATATTATTTATTAACTCAAAATATAGCCCAATGCTGGCCTTCTTGGTGTTCCCCCCCCACCCTTAAAAATGGATGGCATCTGATTGTGTACTGGAGAATTTTTATTTTGTGATATGGATGGCTATCCTGTTTTCCTAAAGGTCAGGTTATTTATGTTATTTTCAGATTGAATTTAAGTTTCTGAATGTTTTGAGTGTCATTCTTGTTTGTGTTGTTGGATTGATCACTAGGGAACTTAGAGAAATTTACCCTCTACAGAGTGTGGGGTCACATGACCTTTCTTTTATATCCTTATTGGACTTTCTCCATAACTCTCAACTTTGATGTCATTGAGATTGTTTCTTTGGAAGCTCCGAGGACCATTTGTGAAAGTAGGGTAGATGAGGTTCATAGGCTCCTTGCTGAATTGGGTGTGATGGTTGGGCTAGGTCAGTGGTTCCTTCCTTGTTGGAGACCCTTTAACACAGCTCCTCCCGTTGTGCTGACCCCAACCATAAAGTTACTTTGTTGCTACTTCATAACTGTGATTTGGTTTCCATCATGAGTTAATGTAAATGTCTGCTGTGCCACCCCAAAGGGATCATGACCCACAGACTGAGAACTGCGGATCTAGATAGACCAAAAAGAAAAAGTTACAATGATGACTCATAAAATATTTATAAGGTTTTTTCTGTTTGTTTGTTTGTTTGTTTGTTTCTTTGGCAGGAGTTCGAGACAGGGTTTCTCTGTGTAGCCCTGGCTGTCCTGAAACTCGCTCTGTAGACCACACTAGCCTCAAACTCACAGAGATCCACCTGCCTCTGCCTCCTGAGTTCTGGAATTAAACTTGTGTACCACCACTGCCTGGCTTATAAGTATTTTTATTTTAGGAAATATAAATGTGCATTTCAAAGTCAGTTTCTCTTTTTTGTTGTTAGTGGTGGTTTTTAAGATACAGCTTCTTATATGTAGCCAAACTCCCTCAAGCAGGGTGCCGTGTGTCAGGAGTGCTCCCTCAGGCTGTGTGCTGTGTGTGCATGAGTGTTCCCTCAGGCTGTGTGCAGGAGTCCTCCCTCAGGCTGGGCGCCGTGTGTCAGGTGTGCTCCTGCACACAGCTAGCCCCTCTCCCAGTGTGAGAATAGAACTTTGCGTTTAAGCAGTTCCTACTGGTCTTTCTCATCACCTCAAATCGGTTGTTTTATTTTCTCAAACCATGGTGAGATGTTTTGAATACATGTAAACAAACAAACATGAGGGCTGAAAAGTTATGTTTTGTATACATTCAACAGTTGATTTAGCTGCTTGCCTTCATTGCGTCTTCTCTTGAGTTTTCTTCTGTTCTGTCTCCCTAGGGCATAGAGCCACATGGTAGTTCTGTCTGTCCACTTGCATCCCCAGGACAGACTTCCACTGTTTGTTAGATGCCCTGGGCTGTCCTGGGTGCTCCAGTCTTGGGGAGAGCTGGGGGAGAGGAGGCTCTGATGCCCTTCTGTCCTCCACGGCTGCTCTGTGTTTGTGGCTGCTCCTCCTGCTTTCCTGTGCCCTGGGGTGAAGCAGCTTTGGAGAAGTTTTCAGGAGCTGCTCATGGCAGCTTAGCATTAGGCAGCACTTTCAAAGCCGGACTCTGGGTGTTGGAGTCTGTTTTTTGTGTTTGTTTGTTTGTTTCAGATTTCTTTTATTGAGTTTATTCTTATTTTTAAACTATTTTAGTGATCTTTGTTGATAATTCTGTTTTACCTTTAAAAAAAAAATCTGTGTAGTCATTAGGGGATAAACTAATTCACACCCTGGAGTAGGAAGCTGCAGGGGCATTGGATCATCTTGTGCATGAAAGTGTGCCTGATACTGGCTGGGGTGTGCTGGGTCAGAGGCGCGTGCATGGAGGAAGGAACGGTCCCAACAGGGACATAGACAGAGCTCCAGGTGTCCCCGCACCTTACCTCGGTCACTGATGACTCAAGTTCCAGGACTAGCTG